TCAATCCCCTGCTACGCCAATGATAATATGTGATCATTTATTGATACCTTGCAATGACAATGACAGTGTTTGATCCTGTAATCGGTCCCCTGCCATTGCAATGATAGTATGTGGTTCTGTAATTGATCCCCTGCCATGGCAATGATATTATGTGATCCTGTAATTGTTCCCCTGCCATGGAAATGATATTATGTGATCCTGTAATTGTCCCCTGCCACGGCAAGGATAGTATGTGATCCCGTAATCGATCCCTCGCGATGGCAACAATATTATTTGATCCTGTTACAGATCCCCTGCCATGGCAATTATAGTATGTGATCTTTTAGATGATGCCCTAACATGGCAATGATATTATGCGATGCTGTAAAAGATCCCCTGCCATGGAAATGATATTATAATATCCTGTAACCGATCCCCTGCCATGGCAATGATAGTATGTGATCCTGTAACCGATTCCTTTTCATGGCAACAAAATTATGTGATCCTGTTACCGATACCCTGCCATTACAATGATAGTATGGGATACTGTAATCGATCCTTTGTCAAGGCAATGATAGTATGTGAACCTGTAAATGATCCCCCGCCATAGCAATGATAGTAGGTCGTCCTGTAATCAATCACTGCTATGACAATGACAGTATGTGATTCTGTAATAGATCCCTTGCCATGGCAATGATAGTAGGTGATCCTGTAACCGATACTCTGCAATCGCAATGATAATATGTGATCCTGTAATCGACACCATGCTAAGGCAATGATAGTATGTGATCCTGTAATCGATACCCTGCTATGGCAATGATAGTATGTGATCGTGTAACTGATCTCCTGCCATGGCAATGATAGTTTGTGATTCTGTAACCGATCCCCTGCCATGACAACGATAGTATGTGATCCTGTAAAAGATCCCTTGCCATTGCAATGATATTCCTGTAATCGATCCCCTGCCATGGCAATGATATTATGTGATCGAGTAATCGATACCTTGCTATGGCAATGACAGTGTTTGATCCGGTAATCCGTCCCCAGCCATGGCAAAGATAGTATGTGATCCTGTCATTGATCCCCTGCCATGGCAATGATATTATGTGATCCTGTAATTGATCCCCTGCCTTGGCAATGATTTTATGCGGTCTTTTAACCAATCCCCTGCCATGGCAATGATAGTTTGTGATCCTGTAATCAACCCCATGCTAAGGAAATGATAGTCTGTGATCCTGTAATCGATCCCCTGCCAAGGCATTTATAGTATGAGATCGTGTAATCGATACCCTGCCATGGCAATGGTAGTATGTGATCCTGTAATCAATTCCCTGCCCTTGCAATGATATTATGTGATCCTGTAATCAATCCCCTGCCACGCCAATGATAATATGTGATCATTTATTGATACCTTGCAATGACAATGACAGTGTTTGATCCTGTAATCGGTCCCCTGCCATTGCAATGATAGTATGTGATTCTGTAATTGATCCCCTGCCATGGCAATGATATTATGTGATCCTGTAATTGTTCCCCTGCCATGGAAATGATATTATGTGATCCTGTAATTGTCCCCTGCCACGGCAATGATAGTATGTGATCCCGTAATTGATCCCTCGCGATGGCAACAATATTATTTGATCCTGTTACAGATCCCCTGCCATGGCAATTATAGTATGTGATCTTTTAGATGATGCCCTGTCATGGCAATGATATTATGCGATGCTGTAAAGGATCCCCTGCCATGGAAATGATATTATAATATCCTGTAACCGATCCCCTGCCATGGCAATGATAGTATGTGATCCTGTAACCGATTCCTTTTCATGGCAACAAAATTATGTGATCCTGTTACCGATACCCTGCCATTACAATGATAGTATGTGATACTGTAATCGATCCTTTGTCAAGGCAATGATAGTATGTGAACCTGTAAATGATCCCCCGCCATAGCAATGATAGTAGGTCGTCCTGTAATCATTCACTGCTATGACAATGACAGTATGTGATTCTGTAATCGATCCCTTGCCATGGCAATGATAGTAGGTGATCCTGTAACCGATACTCTGCAATCGCAATGATAATATGTGATCCTGTAATCGATCCCCTGCCATTGCAGGGATAGTATGTGATCCTGTTATCATTCCCCTGCTATGACTTTGACAGTATGTGATCCTGTAATCGATCCCCTGCCATGGCAATGATAGTATGTGATCTTCCAACTAATCGATCCCCTGCCATGACAAGGGTAAAAATTGATCCTGTATTTGATCCTCTGCATGGCAAGGATAGTATGTCGATCCCTTGCCATGGCAATGATAGTAGGTGATCCTGTAATCAATCCTTGCTATGTGATCAAATATTCCATCCCTTGCTAAGGCAATGACAGTGTTTGATCCTGTAATCGATTCCCTGCCATGGCATTGATATGAAGTGATTATGTTATCAGTCCCCTGTCATGGCAAGGATAGTATGTGATCCTGTAATCAGTCCCCTGCCCTGGCAAAATTTTTATGTGATACTGTAATTGTTCCCCTTCATCGCAATGATAGTTTATGGTCCTGTAATCGATCCCCTGCCATGTTAATGGTAGTAGGTCGTCCTGTAATCAATCCTTGCTAGGACAATGCCACGGAATTGATATAATATGATCCTGTAATCAATCCCCTGCCATGGCAATGATATTATGTGATTCTGCAATTGATCCCCTGCAACGTCAATTATAGTATGTGATCCTGCAATCGATCATCTGCCATGGCATTGATATTAAGTGATCCTGTAATCGATCCCCTGCCATAGCAATGATCGTGTAAGCTCCTGTAATCAATCCCTTGCCATGACAAGGATATTATGTGATCCTGTAATTGATCCCCTGCCTTGGCAATGATATTAGGTGATCTTGTAACCAATCCACTGCCATGGCAATGATAGTATGTGATCCTGTAATCGACACCCTGCTAAGGCAATGATAGTATGTGATTATGTAATCGATCCCCTGCCATGGCAATGATAGTATGTGATCCTGTAATCGACCCATTGCTATAGAAAGGATAGTTTGTGATCCTGTAATCGATCCCCTGCCATGGCATTATAGTGGGCTCTCACGTGAACTATAGCTTCACGTCTACCACAGCCTGACCATTTTCGACCGCAATAATGGTTCCACGTTAAGTTCAAGGTGAGCCAAAAATATCTGTGTGGTGAAATGAAAGAAACGGAGATTGCTTAGACAGGCTGGCTGAATAGCTGTTCATAGACCCTCTGCGAGTCGCAGAAACCATAATATTTGGAATCACAAAAAAAATATCCACTTACTCTTTTCGGAAAAACGTCACCAGGTTAGTTGTTAGATTTTGGTGGTAGAAATAATCTGATTGCCTATTGTTCCCGTGATGGTACTTGACATGACATACAAAAAAGTTGTTGCTTCTTAAGTGAAATGTGATGGTTGAAGATTTTTAATTGATTAAGCGGACATTGGTCATTCTCTTGTCCTTACATTCTGGACCGATGTTGATGATATTTTTAGTTGAATATTTTTCAAGGGCAAAATTGCGTTTCGGGATTCTTACGACAAATTACGGAATTCCGGTCCAAACTGCGACATCCAGCGTCAAATATGGAACCCGAGTTTAAGGAATCTGCCTTCATCGAAATCAGTGCCCATACAAACTAACGGTGTGAGTTGTTGTCTAGGAAATCAATAAGTTTGCTCAAAGTTGTTCATACAGTAAGTTACATGAGAAAAATGTCGTAATACTTTAATCATGCTGACATGCTTCATCGCAGTTTAAGACAATTTCGAACCATAGCCAATACAATTGTAAAAAAGGCAATGCACGCAAGTAAAGAAACAAATACTGACTGAGTAAAAAAAATAGTAGAGAAAAAATTTCCATTTTTTTTAGAACAATTTACGTTTGCCACTTTTTAGATAACATCAACCCAATTTGAGAAAACTTAACTTTCAGATGTTCAAAAATCAAACCGCGAAAAAGTAAATTTGAGCCTGAACAAATTTTATGACTTTTCCTGAAGAAAAAAAAACGAAACAAATCATTACGACCTATATAAGAATCTGAACTACTTCGTCGACTCTAAATGAAATTGAATTTCAGATAAAACTTAAGCGGGGAGTTTAAATGATGGAAGAGCCATAACTATTAAGACTTGTCGGAAGAGCCAGACTTTTCGGTAGGATGTTTAAGACTACCCATTTGAAAAGCAAGGATAGCCGGTTACTGTGCAAGTAGCACAGAATGTTCCGACCATAGTCTTTAGAAAACTACGATTTAGAAAGTTTTTTATACAAATTAGTGTAGTTTTTTCTGTTTAGTGCAGCTAAAAAAACAAAAAACTAGTTTTACTTGCTTAAAATTAAGTTTTCAGGTCTTGATATAGGCATAATTCAGCTGTTAAAAGCCTGCTCTCTTGCTTTATTCGCACGAATTAAGACGAAAAATTAAAAATTTCAAACCGAATTTTTTGACACGGGGGAAAGGTTTTTTGAAAATTTTTAATGTGGTTCGAATCATGACTGTAAGAGCTTCAAGTTGATATATCACTCAACTCAGTTCGATGATAATTTGTGGTACCTGATTATGCGTGAAAAACGAAAAAAAAAAATAAAACACTCAAAAACAAAGTTCCGCACACTTTTTCATTGGCCAGAACAAAAACATAGCCAACAGACTGCCGAAGTAAGAAAACGGAAGCCTGACAGATTTTTTGAAAAAAAATTAAGGTCTTTGATTTTAAAGAATCTTTTTGTAAGACATTTTTTTGATAAAGCAAACCCAATTGGAGAAAATTTGATCGACAAATAACTTTTTTTAGTCCAGTATGAATTCTGAAAATTAAAATCCACAGTCGATTTTAAACTTTATTCTTGCTTTTCCTTGTCATTTACACTCTTCTAGATGTAGAGCGTAATTTGCGCTCCTTTTAGCAAATTACTTAGCGCTGAATTAGAAAGAAATCGAATGTCGAACCACGAAAAACGAGATTTCTTGAAAAAAAAACAAGACATAAATAGGTGTCTTCACTTCATTAACACAATGTTTTTAAATGATATTTATCTGCTAAGCATGTAAGCTGAGATTTTACAAACTGTTATAGTAAAATCACATACATAAATAATTTAGATTACTGTTCCAAAATTGGATGTTAGAAAAAGCGCGCTGGTTAGTTTTTTCACTTGGTTTTGCCTGATTAGTAGCTGTACTCGTTCTGATTTACGTCCTGGTCCTGATCCTGCTCCTCTTCACTCGCATAGTCAGTTCCAGCTTCCTCATAGTCGCGTTCTAAGGCAGCCAAATTGTCCCTGGCTTCTGCGAACTCCCCCTCCTCCATCCCTTCTCCCACGTACCAGTGGACGAACGCCCGCTTGGCATACATCAAATCAAACTTCTGGTCGATTCGTGTCCACGCCTCGCCTATCGCTGTGGTATTGCTGAGCATAGCAGCGGCACGCGGAAGGTCTGCCAGGTCTCCACCGGGAACAGTTGTCGGCCGCTGGCAGTTTATCCCAACTTTGAATCCAGTGGGACACCAGTCTACAAACGTGACTGATCTTTTTGTTCTGATCGAAGCAATTGCGGCGTTCACGTCTTTCGGGATCACATCTCCTCGGAACAACATGCAGCATGCCATGTATCGTCCACTTTTCGGGTCGCATCGAACCATTTGATTGGCCGTCTCGAAAAGCGCACTAGTGATGTCGCTAACCGAACTGTTCTCGTGACCTAGACGCTCGGCAGAAACCACTGGAGCATAAGCTGCCACCGGGAAATGAATTCTCGGGAACGGGACCAGGTTAGTTTGAAACTCGGTGAGATCTACATTCAGTGCCCCTCCGAATCGCAATGAAGCTGTGATGGAGGACACAACTTGACCTACCAGTCGGTTCAAGTTCTTGTAGGTTGGTCTGCATATGTTGAGGTTTTTCAAGCATATGTCGTAAATTGCCTCATTATCCACCATGAATGAGCAGTCCGAGTGTTCTAATGTAGAGTGGGTGGCGAGAACGGAGTTGTACGGTTCCACCACTGCCGTCGAGATGCGGGGGGCAGGGTAGATAGAAAACTCTAATTTAGCTTTCTTCCCATAAAAACACGACAACTGCTCCATGAGAAGCGAAGTGAACCCTGATCCGGTTCCACCACCAAAAGAGTGGAATAAGAGAAAGCCCTGGAGACCGGACGCTTTTTCAGCCTGTCTACGGGTTCGCTCAAGCACTACGTCGATGATCTCTTTACCGACAGTGTAGTGGCCTCTGGCGTAGTTGTTTGCCGCATCCTCTCTGCCAGACACCAGCTGATCTGGATGGAACAGACCTCTGTACTTGCCCACTTTGATTTCGTCTGAACAAACGAAGAAAAATTAGTATATTCATATTTTGAAAAAATTTTAGTTTCGCGTGAATCACGACTGAAAGGGCTTTTATATAATATATCACTCGGCACATTATGATGATGTTTTGTGGTACCTGATTATGCGTGAAAAACAAAAAAATACGAAAATACACCCTAACACAAAATACATCCCCATTTTCAATGGTCGGAAGAAAAAGTAGAAATAAGCCTCGATCTAGTAAGAATTCGGCTATGTGTCGGATTCGATCCTGCAACAGTCCAGCTTATTTTCATGGCGTTGATAAACACTTGCCATTGACAAATCATCAAACTGAAAGCAAACTTTTATCGCAAATAAATTATGGATAGCGTTATGCGTATCTACCAACATTTACAGAAAATAAACTCTCATCAATTTTTGTTCTAGGATTCGAAGCCGACCCAACGAGCCCAGACAACTTCATAACTAATAAAGAATTACGAAATAAGCAAAAACAAAACACTTTAATTGCTAACTGAAACTGTTTGCATATGTGCATGAGTATTTCAACTTTCAGTTAAGTGAAAAATAAATGATCATGTAAATTTAAAAATATCAGTAAACGTAAACGTCAGTAACACTTAAACATAGCCAACTGACAGCTAAAAAAGAGTAACGAATGCAAGAAAACTGAAAAAAAAAACTGACTTGTTTTCTTTTTCAAAAACCTTCACTTTTTGAGTTTCAAAAAAAAGAGATGGCCATAAAGCTCTATGAATTTGTAAAACAATTTATGATGGACACTTTTTAGTTAAAATTAACCCAATTTGAGAAAACTAGATCGATAGGTAAAACTTTTATTTCGCTGAGAAGTCTGATAATTATTTTCCATTTTCGAAACTGGAAGTCGATCACGTTTTTCGTGACCTTTACACTTTTGCTGTTTGTTGGTGGAATATACCTTTCTTTTAACAATGAAACGCACTGAATTTAAAAAAATCACAAATCAAACCGCGAAAAATTAAAATCGAGCGTGAACAAACTTTAAGACTTTTTCCTGAAAAAAAAATCATAACTCTTGAAAAGCCTTAACACAATATCAGTAGAGTAGATCAAGTCCTGTCCAATTGAAGTTTTTGCATGAAACTGGAACACAGGTTTGGACCGATCTATTTAAAAAAAAAAAAAAAATTTTGAATACGACCTTCTCACATCTGTAAGGATATCATGCGGAGTAACTTTATAATCTTGAATCATATCCCATGCAGTTACTAATCCTTTGCATAGAGGCAAAGCTGCGTTTCGCAAAAATTTGCGAGAAAACAGCAAAAAAAAACTAGCTCTATAATGTGAAATAAGAAAAGAAAAAGTAAAAATAAACCTTGAAAAATTAAAACTATTTTGCGGAGGATTCGATCCTATTAGCGGGAGATTTATAGTCCCCTCTACTCGCAACTGCGCCACGGACACTTCAATTATTCAAACATTAGCCACAAATAAAGCAGCTACGTATGCTAATAAATTGCCAACGCAATGCAGCAAATGTGGCAACAAATACAAATTGACACAATTTTGCATGTAATAAATTGGAAAGCATAAAGCCAAATTATGAATAAGTTATGCAATTTAGAAGAATTGCAAGATTCGTTGAGCTGGAATTTTTCTAAAATCGAATTTTTATGATTTTAAAGTTGCTCGAAACAATAAGGTCCTTTCGTTTCATTTGATGAAATAAAAAGACACCAATTGTATTAAAATATTACAAATCGAATGTCAAAGCACATGCTATCAAACAGCTACCTTCAAAATGCAGCTAGCGTCAAAACAGCCACGAAATAGCAATAATATTTCCGGCACAGGTTGAAAAAAAAATAATAATTGTACTAAAACACTATGCTTGATTGTGTAAAAAAAAATTGTCTATGCAATGCCCATTATATTTTTGATCAATTATAAATTATAACTCTTTTACTTGCATCGATCGAATAGTTTTCGCGGTTTGTTTTCCAAATAAGCTGATGTTATAACTTTCACAAAAGCATATTAATTTCCAGCCAAGGAGCATGGGTATCGTTAGCTTATTATGTTTCAATATAAAATCACAAGATAAATCGAACTTTGCCCGATTACAGCAGGGTTTTCATAGCACAGTTTTTTGTTTTCAAGTGATATCGTTAAGTTTGCTGATATTCTGTTTAGCCGAGGGGCTGGATAGTGTATATGACTAATGACGCATACGTACAATAATAGTTATTTAGTTTTAATTTAAAGTATTTTTTCAGTGTTTTTATTCCACCGCCCATTTTTCTTTATATCATTTAAACATCTTCGAATGGCAGAAACTAACCCCAAGAGAATTGTGATGTTTCTGTCAAATGTAACCGATTATAATTTTCATACCCTTGTGACTAATTTGTGCTGAGAATGATGAAGTTGTTTTTTAAAGGCAATATTGCAATATAAGCATTAATAGCAAAACTACGAATCGTCGTTTGTTACCAACTGTTGCGTATTAGAAAACGTGATATGTTACAAATTGTCGCCCATAGACAACAAATTATATACCACGGTAATATGGTAATCAATGAATCAACAAACCAATAACAGTCTGCTCCAAGTCCACAAAAATGGACCTCGGAACATGTTTTCCTGTCGGAGTTTCCGAGAAAAATGTGCCAAATGAAGCGTCTCTCATCATCCAGTCATCACAACCACCCTTTCTTCCAGTCGGGAACTCCGTTTGTCTCATGGAACCATCGGCTTCTATTCCATGTTCCAGACAGTACAGTTCCCAGCAAGCGTTTCCCATCTGGATGCCAGCTTGGCCGACGTGTATGGAAAAACATTCTTTCTGGAAAATAGTATTTCTTTATCAATGAAACTAGAGGCCCAGCTAAAGCTGGAGGAGGTACCTGTTTGATAATTTTTTAGTTTGTTGTTCTGATGCGGGATGAAATAGGTGATTTCAAAATTTAAAAATTGGGCTTCACCCAAAACCTAGTTTTTGCTCTATTAAAATATGAATGATATTTTTGTGATTTTGGAAATTTTCCTTATACATAATATTTTTGAACAAACATTAGGGCGTAGCATCTTATGCACGAATACTTCCCACAACCTGTTGCCTTGATTAAACCCTTGATATCAGATTGAGTTGTTTTCGAGAGGAGTCGAAAAGTTTATAAAATACGGACAAGAAATCAAAACATTGACTTTTCCGAGGGCCATCACTTTTAGTGTAAAAAATTTGGCGCAACGGCTTTTTAAGGCGCAACCATTCAAGGGGTGCCACTAACATAAATACCTTTCATATGCCATTTCATTTAATCAAAAGAAACTCACTACTCGGGTTGACCAAAAATACTAATCATACACTTTTCATGCAAATCCATAAGAACAAAAAATAGCATAAAAGGCTTATGATAAGTGAGTGACTTTTCGTATCTGGAAATTTTTTGACTAGCACTTTTCCATAATCTGAAAAATGTTTTTTTATTTAAGTTCTTCTCAGTTTTTGGGTTGTGTTCGTAACCGAACACAAGTGACAAAGTCCTTGGTTACTCAAAGCTAGAGTCACCAAAAAACGAGAAAGTAATTCAATTTTCGTGCATCTAAGACTAAATTTTGCAGGCAAAAAAATTTTTGTGGGAAAATGTTTGAGTGCAAAATTATAATCCATTGAAAATCCATTATAAGGGATTATAATGGATTATAATTTCTTTTTTTTTTTCACATTTATGGAAATAACAGAAAATTTTAAGGTTCTGGAAAATTCAGGCTCTTTTTCATAAAACTCGAAAATAATCCATTATAATCTTTTATAAACCATTGTAACACTTTATAACCAATTATAATGGATTAAATTGATTTCTACTTTGTTTTATATTTGATTAATAAACTGTAATAACCTATCATTTTAGAATTTTATAGGGACAGGACATCGAAATCAATTATAACCGATTTTTATCCATGGAAATTCTTTGCGGGAACTTAGTTGACATGTCCACTTTACAGAAAGAAAATTATAAACGATTTGCATTTGGCTTTTTTACTATTAAAACACTGTTTGGTATTTAGATCACAAGTCTTATTTAGTCTAATTATTTAGACATAATGAAAACATCACTTTAGAAGCTCTTATGAACAGTTAATTAGATTTTATGGATCAACTGACGTCACATTTCACCCTTTTTGCAAAAAAGTCAGTTAAAAAAAATTCTCAAATCGAAAGCAAGATAAAATTTACGATCCAATTGACCACGTAATTTGTTTCATTTCACTAGAATACGATGTTTCCTTGTCCCTCACGAGTTCATTCAACTGAATAAAAAACCTTCATTAGGAAAAATTACATGCTGTTTGTAATCACGTCCTATGTAACGGTGTTGAAAGTTCAACCACTTTTTATAAACTTTTTAATTCAATCAAAAGAAATTCACTACCCGGGTTGACCAAAAACACTAGTCATATATTTTTCATACATGGAAAAAAGCTAATCATACAATTTTCATGCAATTCCATTAAAAAAAAACAGCATGAAAGGTTTTTGATTGGTGAGTGACTTTTCACACGGTCTATCATTTAGCATGCTATCACAAACAAAAGAACGAAGTACAAAAATTGTAACTTATAGCAAACATTTACAAAGATTGATCAATAAGAAATTTGCAATACGAAAGGCATACAAAAAAATGCAATACGAAAGAAATAGGCTTTTTGAAGGTTTTTGAAAACAATTATTTAGAAAACGGGAAATTAATTCAATTTTCGTGCATCTAAGACTAAGTTTTGCATGCAACAAAAAAACTAAGTACGAAAATGTTAGTTTGAGTGCAAAATTCGTTTATAGCTTGAAAAAAAACAATCTAAATTTTTCGGACAGTTTCTGATTAATTTTTTGAATTTTTGTAGTCGCCATCCAAAAAATACTCGTCAAACAATTTCTATATATGGAAATTGTATGATTAGCATTATGTTACCAAAAAAAATTTCATTTATATTATTTATGATGCACCGAATTTTACGCCAAAACAAGAAAAAGTTCTATTCTAAATTTCGATTACACCATTTCAGCAAAACTTTCGAAACTTATATGGAAAGCGTTTTTTTATAGAATTTGTTTATGAAATTATATGATTAGCATTTTCAGTTTATGTAGGTCAACTCGGGTAGCCTTTTTCTTGAAAATTGAGTTTAAATTGAAACACACAGAAATAATAACTTGCACAAAATTGAGAACTTAGCTGGACAATAATTTTGATAGTTGCATTTCTTCGCATGGTCAAAAACAAAAACATTAGTTATTCTTCAGTTAGTACTTATCGCTTGACCGTTGTTGATTAAAGTTGTATGGAGCAACGACCAAAGTTCCATTTACATTTTTTTACTTTCAAACTTCTACGCGCTGTAAAAGCTCAAACTAAGTCGATTTCCTTGATATGACTTCATCAGATGATAACGTTGCACAAAATGAAAACTTTGCGTGGCAGTAGTTTGATAGTTATGATTCTTCACATTACAAGAAGGACAAACTGTTTTACTTGCTACACAAGCTCAAATTATCTACAAAACTAATTGGAATGCACGAATAGCGACAAACAGAAGCACCACACTCATTGTAACACGAAACTATTGAAAAAATTTACCACGACAGCCCAAATATTTGGAAAATCCAAACCACTTAATGTTGTCTCTTGAATCACTTTTGCACTCGATCTCAAGATGCCCCAGTACGCTTCCTAAGAAACTATAACGTTCACTATGAAAATCTTCAATTTCTCTTTTCCCTTATTCATCAATAAACTTTGCGAACACGTTACTTGACTCAGAATGCCCAGACTGGACAAAAGACTGGGCGGATTTAGGGGGGGGGGGTGATTAGAAGCACCCTATCATTCAGGAATTCGACCCCCTGGCGACCCAAAGGGTCCCCCCTTTGTATTATTTTGAGATATCCAGTTTTGGTGACGGAACCTAAATTTTTTCTAAAGGCGCCTTCGGCGTCAATATATACTAATTTTGAAGGGGGAGCGCGTGCCGAAAAAGGCAATTTTTTGGTCAAAATTTTCAAAAATTGCCTAAAAACGCCTTTTTTGGACAATTTTTTAATAATTTGCCTGCGGGGCAAAAAATTAGGCCAAAAAAGGGACTTTTTAGTACTTTGGCAAAACTTAAAAAAAATCAATTTGGTCGACCTAAAGAAAGGTCGACAACATTTTCGAAGATTTTTGAAAATCCGCCCCCCCCCCCTCGAGAAAATCCTAGACCCGCCCCTGACAAAAGGGATAGTAAGGCAGCTCATGCTCACTACAATATAAGAACCAGCAACTCATAATTGATGACTACAGTTCTCATGATTTTATGGTTTTATTTGATGCTTTTATTGGCACTCTCATTTTACTTTGGTTGTATTAGTTTTTGCATAACTTTTAATTGTTATACTGCAGAGCCTTAAATACAAACCAATCATAACCTATAACTTAACCCTATCTAAATATTGTACGCTGATTAGTTTCATCATCCTTTATACCATTTGAAACAACGTGGGTTCAAACCCAACCTCGCTTTCACCAGAGACTAGGATTATTAGAGCAGGGCTAAGAACAGCATAGACTGAGGGGTTGCTCGAACATCATCCGGCCAAGTAAATATATGATGCAAAACAGAGGGTGTATTTTATGTGAGACGAGGGTTTTTTTTGTGACTAGTATTTATATGCTGTTTTCATAATTAGTTTAGATACATCTAATAGAAAGGCTTGAAGTGAGAATTTCAATGACGATTTCAGAGAGATTTTAAAAAATTCAATGAAACTTTGGCTTCAAAGCATTTATAAACTGTATCATGGAAATCCATTCTCAGATAAAAAAAGTCTTATTAAAAATACCATTCTCAGATAAAGTACACCGACTGTTTCTCTCATACCATCTTTTTTGGCCGGATAGGTTCGCGCAACCCATCAGTCTATGCTGATTTAAGCCTAACTCTTAAAATCGTAGTCTCATCAGATTTCGAAAAGCCATTCTAAAATCCTATGTTTTTAAGATTTTTTTGGCTGAAGTTACTGACACAAATTTTGTTAAACCCGTTTTATTTTTTTGAAAAAACGCCACTTCGAACTTCTGTGTTTTTCTTTTGAAAAATAAATTTAAAAAAGCTTAGAAATTTGCGGTAGCCAGAACTGGTATTTTATTGTCCAAAAATTGGTTCGTCGCGAATTGCACTTAAGCAATGTGTGCTGGTATTAAAACTAAAGAAAACTTACCATGTTTAAAACTATCTGCTACAGGCTACGGCAGAACAACTGGAATTCTGCAAAGAAATTGAACAAGTGAAGATTATGTCGGTCTTTCTTTTTGACTGATTGGCATTTTCACCTGTTTTGTGCTAATTATGAAATCAAATTTGGGAAGGAAAAAAGAAAACCGATTGCTTTTAGTTGTCGGTCCAAAGAGATCAACTGGGTGTCAGTGCCAACATCGAAATGTCAATTATACCACTTAGCAGATGGTGTTCAGAAGTTCGGTGCAGATGGAACTAGCCAGTGCAGATTAAAAGTACAATTAATCAAGTGCTACTACTACGGCTGCAACCTTGAAACAGTGATAGCTGTACCAAATAAGGATGGACAACCAGGCGCGCACATCTAAGACTTTCTCGAGGGGAAGGGGTCGAATTTTCAAAAGAACTTCGAAAATTTTATCAGTTTTTGCCATTTTTTAAAAGTCTAGAACCTCACAATAAAAACAATTACACATTGAATATTTTCACACGTTTGAGCTCAGGGTCCCGATAATATCAAAAAAGTTTGTTAAAATATCTGTTGACTTGGTAAACATTTTAAATTTTCAGCCAAACAGAACCAATCATTTTACACGCAGCGCTGAGCTCTTTTTTCTCCAAATGAATTTTAGGGAACAAGATCTTAACTTGGTCTAGTTAGGGGGATGGTGTTGAAGTTATCCGATAAGTCGACGGATTTCATCATCACTCTTCCGAGCTTGTTTGTGCCATCATGATAAAGGGACAATATTATTGTCTTAAGAATGTCCCACGTTTCGCCCCACACATTTTTCGCCCCTCTTAAAACTAGTGGTATACAATTCGCCCCACTTAAAACTAGTGGTATACAATTCGCCCCAAAAAGTTTCACATTTTGTAATCGCACCTTTCGCCCCTAACTTATAACACAGTTAATTAATCGCCGCTTTCTTAACTCACGATTTGAGGAGCGAAATGTGCCAATAATTTCATGAGGGGCGGAACGTGGGAGGGGTGAAATGTGTGAACAGTTTTTCTTAGCCATCATGGATAACCAATGAAATAGTCTTGATATTATAGTTTTCAGCAAACAGTAAAAATCTGAACATTATTGTCTATTCACTTGAAGTTCACAATTTATGACCGAATTGTACTGTCAGAGCGAGCAGAACGCGATTCATAACTTGTACTCAGATAGTTTCCGTCATATATTGCTAGTTTCAACGGCAATGACTTGACATGATATTAAGCTAAACGAGTATGAATCTATGATTAATCAAAACACTTACAGGTTTTTGTTGCAAACCTCTTAGGGTAGCTGACGCTACCATCCAGTTAACATACCGGTCAAGGTTGGTCGAAGTTATTTCGAGGATTGAATCATAAGGGCGTAAAACGGTGAGTGGGGGATAATCCACCTTTAACCCAACATTTTATTATACGACACCCTAGATATGCTGCTATGAGCCTGGTGTGAACTCGGACCTGGTTCAAAATTTGAAGCCCTTTAGCGCACCACGCAATGCACTTGATCAGTGAAGGGACACATTTCATAGGCCAAAAAGACCAAATGAAATTCGCGTACGATTTTGCATGGGTTTAACACTTTTTTAGGGCCAATATTGCTCAGCACACAGAAACGAAAAGTTGCGCAGTGGTTTGAAGCAGAAAATGATGAGAAGTATTAGGTGGGAAATTCAAAGAATTTTCCACAAAAATTAAAAGTGTACCGATAACTTCGTCGGTAACTTTACCGTTACCTATTTTTGCCATAAAACCCAATTACAACTGCAGGCCATTCTATCCTATCCTTCGCCCATGACATTGATTATACAGTTTGAGATGATGTCATCGGTTTAACATCATCGGTTTTACGGCATCGGTTTTTCCTATTACACAATAACATTCAATGGCCCGGAGTGAAAAATTGAGTACTGCGCGAATTTCAACTGAATCAAAGATCATATACAGTCGTTGCCTTGATGGTAGCCCTCGCAGTGGAACTGATTGTTGATTAGTTTTGGATGACGTCCATCCAAGATTAAAGAATGCGCCTGATATGGCTTGTCAAACAGAAAGGGTTATTTGTACTCACTTCAAGTGAATAGCTCGGAATCCAATTATGTAATTTGACCTTCTTGTTAGATGACAAGAAATCGTTTTCCATTGAGAATGATTCCGATTGCGAAACCTTTTTTTCACAATCAACAGTTGCGATAGATCCGTTCTTGCACGAGAGAAGAACGCGTTGTTAACCGCGGAGTGAGTGTAATGCACTCTAAACAACGAGCAAGTTTTTCGACGCAACTAACTAGTGTTCCGGTAAAAACAACCTTCTCATCCACAAATCTCTGAAAACGAGTTTTGTTGAGCACCTCGTTCGAAGGTTTGAACGACCAATTAAGGATAAGATTTTCGGTGTTGACAGGATTTTCGTCACTAGCGTAACTTACAACCCGTTGTATCGCCTCGTAGCAGTTACTTGGATAATGCGATGAGCTCTAGGCCAAGATGTCTTTAGAAATTTTAATCCACTGGAATACTTCCATAGCAAGGATTTAGAGTCTGTGAGTTATATGGATGGGTATAACTCATAGAGTAATTTCGGATAGGGTACACCGTCTGCTCGTCACGCTATCTTATTTTCGGCCGGATAGATTCGTGCAACTTCTTAGTCTAATACCGATCCTAATCTTACTCTTATACTATCTAGTCTCAGGTTGTTTAACTAGTCTCTGCTAGGCTCAATAGATCTAGGGTATACTGGTTTATTGCGGCTGCTGAAGTACTCGGGAGAGTTCAACTAATTTCTAAGTTAAATTCAAATCTCTCTGGTGCTGAAATTACAAGTAATTTCAGCACTTACAAATAAGTGGATTGTTAGTTAGATGGATCATGATTGGTTAATATTAAATACTTTACATTGGTAAAATATCTAATTTATCCAATCATAAAATGTAGTTTAGATCAGGTTCCACCCATCCGGGTTTTACAGAGTTTTTTTAGAATAGTTTTTCTGCAATTCGAAACAAGGATGATGGACGTTGGTTTTTGGCGAACATCTTATTTCTTCTGGGTTTTCTTATTAGAGAAGTCCCAGATTCAATCATTGTGTCTTCTCAAGACAACGACTGGGTTTTCGCAACAAACTCAAATCTGATTTCAGAATGGTTGGCTATGTCAGGTTTTTCTGTTTCATTGGTGAGAACTTCTTTGTGTTTGACCTTGTCTGGGAATGGCGTGGAGATTGTGCGTGGAGGGGATGCCTGGTTACTCGGATCTGTACGTATACTTGAACATCGAGGTGGTCATTGGTCTAGTTCAATGAAGTCCTTTTCTGCGAAGTCAAGTCGTACTCTAAATCCTTTGAGTTGTGATTGTGGGCGGCATATTGATTGTAGTTGGCCATTCTTTCTCGAGTGTAGTAGGGTCGTTTTGTCTTTGGATGTTCGTCCTTGGTGTTGTATTCTGATCTATGTATTGCATAATGTAATTTACATTTTATAAAACTTTTATTAGTTTAATATTTTTTAATTATGATTTTAGTTAGTTGTTTTCACAAAAGCTTTTTGTTTTAGTTCAGTTATTTTGAAGAGTTACTCACCCTTGAGTAGCTCTTATTAAAAATAGGAGTGTGGTCACAAAGCGTGGATGTAGCACGGTGGGTTAGGCCGGCTATAGAGCATGCTCAGGACGTCCTTCCTGGTGGGTTAGGCCAGGAGTGGGAGTATGATTGCATGCGGTTTTTGTGAGAGGTCCTGTTATGTGACAACGTTTTATGTTGGGTTTGTTGTGGTTTTTCTTATGTTTTGTTGGTTGTGTCCTTTTTTCAAAAATCAAATTGTTTGTGGTATGGGTTTGTCTTTCGACTTTTTTGTGTTTTATTATTTCTTTCTTAGACTTTATAATAGTCTTCAAAAGAATAAATTATCCAGTTTTAAACTGGGTTAATCCGGTTTGGGTACCGTTGGTTTCCTTTTCTTAGTCATGCTGTTATGCTATGTGTTGTGGTGTTTAGTAAGCTGCATTGGTTAGTTTTGTTTAGTATATAATTCCTTTCCAACCGGGTTAAAGTAAAGTTTGAAACATGTTATCTTGTGTTAGAGTTATCGAGTGTGAAAGCTTGGAACTGAAATTCATTACTTTAAACAATTCTTCGTGGGCGAGCTGTGCGAGTTTGGATAGAATTTTTATGCGAGTGAATGAAAATATCAAAAGGTTAGTACTGCTTTTGCTTCTTATGAATTTACTACATAGAATTTTAATTTTACTGCTAGTTGTTGGGGGAAATTAAGTTACAAATGTTCATCAGTATTAGATTTACTGCTGGTGGGGGAAAATTTATAAATTAATTTACTGCATTGGTATTATATTTATTTAATTGTTGGTGCAAAAATTTAATAGGGTCTTAAACAGTTTTGAAGAAGTTTGCTATTTTTTATTTTTCTTTTGTGAATTTTTCAGATGATCTAGGATGAAGGCTAAAATTCTAAAGAAAACATGGATAAAGAATGGTGAGTTTCTAATGTTTGAATTAATTATTAATATGTATAATTCATACTTACCTGTTAGTCGTCGGGGAAGAAACCGTGGGGGAAAATGTCGTGGATGAGATCTGAAGTTGTTAGTAGTTTGGCTAATATGCGGATGATATTTTTAGTTTGAAGCAGTGGCCAAAGCAATTGAAGTGCCTTAATGGTGGTTAGTTCTTCAGTGCCAACTGCAAATTCATAAGGTGTGTTTTGGATTAGATTATATAATTTGTGGTTGAATTTAGTGTTATGGATGAATTCTAAAATGGGGATTTCTATAGGTTGTACAAACTCGTGTGGGATGAGGAAGGGTCGGGATTCTTCTGCGTTGAAGGTTTTGGTGATGGGACAAAAGATATACATTTGGGTTATGGGATCATAATTTCGAAGAATACCATGAAGGTTAGTATCTTTAATGCAATATGTGAAGTTAAGAAAGAATGGTGAGGTGTATTTGGAATTGATGAATTGAAAACGATGGTGTGGTTGTCTGGAGGGAGTGTGTAGGTCAAAGTGATTTTGGATGAAACGATA